GCTGTGTGTGTGGCGCCCAGGTGTGCTGTGGCCGCCAGCAGGTGTGATGCGTGTGTGGCCCAGGTGTGCTGTGGCCGCAGCAGGTGTGATGTGTGTGGCCCAGGTGTGCTGTGGCCGCAGCGGGTGTGATGTGTGTGGCCAGGTGTGCTGTGGCCGGCAGCAGGTGGATGTGTGTGGCCCAGGTGTGCTGTGGCCGCCAGCAGGTGTGATGTGTGTGGCCCAGGTGTGCTCGGCACCTGACGTCTGTCTCCTCTTCCCCAGCAATTACTGGACCAGCTGCTTCAGCGGAACGCCGTCTAACCCAGGCGGCCTGCCGGCCCCTGCCCGGGCCTGGATGGCTCCAGTGCTGGACACACGATTAAACGGCCCATCTTCACGGCGGCAAACACTGATTTTTACTTTGGATGATTTTTTTTATTTTTTGCATAAAGGAAAGCCCCGCCTCCCGAACTGCTGGCCCAAACAGGCAGGACCAATGGCACTCGAGGACGGGGCTCCGCAGACCAGGGGGCGATCCGGTCACTACCCCGCCAGACCCCTTCCCTTCGTATTTCCGAGCTTTCCCTTTTGCTTCTGACCCCTCCCCCTCCCCATGCCCATGCCCACCCGGCAGAAAGGCCTCGCTCGCTCCCGGGGGCTCAGGTCCCAGGGGTTCTATTTTTTTAATCAAATTTCCAAATGCATCGCTTTTTACAAACCAGCCCCAGATTCTGCCAGCTGTGCCAGTCTGCGCCCGGTCACCGTGTGGGGCCTCAGGGCCTCTGGACGCGGTGCCGAGTGCTGGAGGCAGCTCCGGATAAGTGCCCATGACCTGGGACTCAGCCCTCGCCGCCCCCGCCCCGCACCTCCCCTCAGCCAGAGCCTGTGTCCAGGCTGCTGCCGGGCAGCTCACGGGAGGAAGCGCAGGGACCTCCGTGTCCTCGCAGCCGCGCCCTGGGACAGCCGATGGCTGGACACGGCGGGCTCCCCGGCTGCCACACGCCCTCCCAACATTTACGTTTGTCATTTATCCACGTGGTTTGGGGAGTTAAGAACCAACTAGTTTTTATCGAAAGTGGAAATAAATGCAATTATTACAAAAAGTCAAGCATTTCTCTGTTATGTCTTTTGTGTTCTGAATGGAGCAGCTCAGCGAGAAATGCCGCCCGGCCCAGCCGGAGCCTCAGAGGTGCCCTCGGCCGCATCCTAGCGCCCAGGTCAGGGCCCGCCCTCCCAATGCCCAGGAGCAGGCTGTTCCCAGAGAAGCGGGAAACTGGGCAGAGAGAGGGTCAGGGTCCTGAACACCCAAAACTCCCCGAGGAAAGAGAAGGAAGTTCGGGGTGCGGGGGGCGGTGAGCAGGTGGCACCTTTTCCGGGTCAATGTCATTCACATGTCCGCGGGGCGACTCTGTAAAAACTCAGCCTCAGGCCCCCTCCTGAGACCTCCCCCCTCCCCCTGCCCTCCTGTGGGGATCACACACGGGGCTCCTCGCACCAGAGCCTGTGCCATCCACCCAGCGAGAGGAGGTGCCCACGCGAGGAGGCGCTGACCTGGGGTCACAGCTGGGCTGTGCCCTGAGGATCCAACCAGGAGCGAGAAGCCACACAGCGACTCCCACAGGGACGTTTAATGTGCGTCATTATTAACCAGGACGGTGGGTGGCGGGGGATGGGCTACAGAGAAGTAAAGAGAATGGGCCCGGCCAGCGTGGCTCAATGGTGAGGGTCAACCTAGGAACCAGGAGCTGACGGTTCGATTCCGGTCAGGGCACAGGCCCAGGCTGCGGGCTTGATCCCCAGTTGGGGGTGTATAGGAGGCAGGTGATTGATGATTCTCTTTCATCATTGATGTTTCTCTCTCTCTCTCTCTCTCTCTCTCTCTCTCTCTCTCTTTCTCTCTCTCTCCCTTCCTCTGGGAAATCAATAAAAATACATTTTGTAAAAAAAAGGAAGTAAAGAGAGTGGACAGAGAGGAGGCGAGAACAGCAGTAAGGTGTCAGAGAAGGTCCTGGGTGCCATGCCATGGAATTGCTGGAAATCTACTCCCTGGGGTACAAGGGAGCTGGCTCACGAAGGCTCTGCTGCTGCAGGGGTGCAGGAGGGTGCGGGAGAGGGAAGGAGGGTGAGGGAGGGTGAGGGAGGGTGAGGGAGGGTGAGGAAGAGAACTCCTCAGAGCTCCCAGCTCCCCTGCAGCATAGCCCGCCAAAAGGGTGACTTTGGAGGTGAGAGAGGATAAACCCAAAACCTGGCACCTGGAGTTCTGTGACCTCGCCGCGGGGTCCTGACCTGTGACGTGGGTGTGAACATGGTGCCTGCTTCCCAGGGCGGTTCTGGCTGGACTAACTCAGCAGGAGGCGAGTGCTTGGGAGGACCCTGGTCCAAAGCAGGCGCGACATGCCTGTTCCCTGTCGCACGTGTGCATGCGGGAGGGTGTCCTCAGAAACACAGAGGGGCCGTGGCTGCTTCCCTCTCAGCCCCCCTCCCCCCAGCCTGGCACTGAGACCGTGAGCCAGAAAGACCGGGAATTCCAGCTGTTACTACAGCAAAAACCCGTCCCAGAGACAGGGTTCTCTGCAAACAGGCGGTGTTTTCTCTCAAGTTCCTCTGAGGCCCAGAAACAACGTCACAGCTCGGCTGAGCTTGTGCTGCAGGTGCACGCTGGCCCTGACGGACCGCCTCCTCCAGGATGCTACACGGAATTGCTATTTGCATTTTTAATGTTTTATTGGAAAACACTTTCAATCGAATGGATGTCAGTGCAGGAAATTTGCTCCTTAGGAGAAGGTCTTGCCGTACCTTTTTTATTTGTTTTTCTTTAACGTTTTTCAACAGCTCTTCCTAACCAGTAATTTCAGTTCAGGGCCCACCCACCCCTGGGTCTGTGACATTTCCTAAGAATCAGAGTTGTGTCGGCTGCCATCTACGTCCCTCCGTGGCCGGATGGGGCCAACGTGCCCGGGAAGAATTTATCCCTCAGCAAACCTGACGCTAAGCCCTACGATGCAGAGAATAAATGAAAGTTAACTTGGGACGAAATGCCACCGAATCGTGTATCTCTTCCTTAAAAAAAGATTCGCCCATCAGCCTCCCCTTGGGTAGCCATCAGCTTCTCCTCTGTCTACAGTCTCCTTTCCGTTTTGTTTGTTTGTTTGCCTTGTCCTTTAGATTCCACGCATCAGTGAGATGTGTGGGGTTGTCCTTATTTCACTCAGCGTCACGCCCTCTCGGTCCATTCGTGTTGTTGCAAATGGCGAGATTTCACTCTTTTCTATTGCCGAGTCCTATGCCCGGGCGTGTGTCCGCGTCTGTTCTATCCGCGTGTCTGCTGCCGGCACCCGGCCTGCTGCCACATCTTGACTATTGTAGATAACACTGCGGTGAGCACAGGTATGCAGGTATCTCTTCTGTGAACGAGTGTTTTTATTTTCTTCAGACAAACACCCGGGAGTGGAGTTGCTGGGCCCGATGGCCCTTCTATTTTTACTGTTTTGAGGAACATCAGTGCTGTTTCCTCAGGGCTGCACCAGTTTCCATTCCCACAATCCGCCCGGCTCCCTTTCCTCCCGTCCTCGCCAGCACGTGCCGCGTGCTGATTCTTTGGTGCCTGAACCAGGTGATTCTGCGGACAGTTCTGACCCAGGCGATGGTGGTGGAGGCCGGG